TGTGTAACACTCTAAAATTAAAAGAGGGTTGATTTAGTTGTTACCATGGATACAGGAGCATCATGTGTTCTGTGTAGCTAACATTATCTTATTTTTCTCTATGATCCAGTGGCGGAGCTAGGATTCTTATGAATATGGGGCCCTGAAAGGGTCAAGAGATGTTAAAGGGGCCAAGTATTTGTCCAAGATTTCATGCTGGAAATTCACATTTCATCATCAGTGCCATAAGTGTTTGGATTGGCAATTGCGTCCACCTATAATCTGATCACCACGCAAAGGACAGATGGAAAACAGGACTCTTCAGGGGGCCGGTCAGATTTCAGCCGGGGCCATTGCCCCTGTGGCTCCGCCCCTACAGTCTCCAATGAAAGGATCAAATGCGCCTGCTCTTGACCAAAGGAATCATAGCAAGATACATTTCTGGATACAGAAATGGACCCAGTCCCATTTTTCACGTTTGTACCTCTGAAACAAACTTGGTGGTGGCGTTACTCAGGGTCTTCAGCATCGGTGTCGCTTCAGCGTAGAACAGGGACATGCGATTGGCCATCTCGTTGTTCACCTCGTTCTCTGCATCCAGCTGCAAAATTTAGCACAATTATTACGTCGTACTTAGCTGATTTTATAAAGCAACTTTCAAAAACTGAGACCCCATTTTTATTGTTTTAAGGAGTTAATAGTGGGGAAATGTGTCTGTGAATGTTCTTGTAACCTCCTGATTTGTACTCTACCTGCTGATTGTTCAGCCTGTTCCTGCTTATAGTCCTCCTGTAGTAGCTGAAGTCATTCTGAATGGCTGGATTTGTCATCTGCACAATGAGAGGAAAGGAGACGAACGCGGTTTCAGCTAGCGCTGACTTCCTTCTCGATTCGGGAGAGGTAACCGGAGCATTAATGATCCCTTTCACCTTTAGTTCGTCGAAGCTGAGAGTAAAATGAAGAATTTCAGCAAACTGCTTGGCCAGGGCCTGCTCCCGCTCCAGGTGCTGCATGGGAGCGTAGGGTGGGCTCGTCAGCGCCTCCAGCAGGCTGCGCAGGGCATTCTCTGCAAGGACACACACCTCAAAAATGTATCAATTAGCATTTTCCTAAAGCAAGCTCCCACTGTGAATTCAACTTAGAAACAAAGATGTAAACAAACAGATCATCTCTGACACAGCTGGTTCCAGATGTTGTGGCTGATCATCCATCATGAGCACCCCCCGTGACCGCACACTTCCCCCGTGTCACCTACTGCACCGAGCTGGACCTTCTGGCTGATTGACTTCCAAATCCGACCTGAGAGGCTGAGAGTGCTGAGCCTCCTGAGGCCCCATCTCATCCTCCACATTAAAAATGCATGAGGGTCTTCTATAAATACAGCCGTCAAGTGTTTAATCTAAAGGGCCTGGGCAGATACCCCAGCCTCCCTCCTGCTGTCAGCACAAAGTGCACGGTCAGTATCCCGCCTGGCGGTTCAGATCAAGGAACTCTGCAGCTGTTTGTGACCTCCTGCCCTTTTAGACTTTAAACACATAAATAAATGAAGGTGCAGGAACAGGCAGGATGTTGGTCATTAGGATGCGATCCTCCTGCCTCCATCACAGAGGTCTTCCAGCCGTTTCTGATGCTGAAACGTCCTCATCGTGATTCATCAGATTCCCACTTAAGA